TTCCCTTTTTTTTTTTTTTTTTTTTTTTTTTTTTTTTTGTAAAAAAAAACCCCTTTTTTTTATAAGAAAAATAAAAAAAATTTAATGCTTTCATGGATAAATGACAGGCGAGTAAAAGCAAACCGGTCCTGAGAGCCCTTTCCCAGGGCCAAGCTCTCCAAGGTTGCCGGAGTGAACCGCACCGGTTGGCCTGGACTCCTTCTGCAGGAGAAGGGGGGCCAAGCACCGGTCTTGGGGTGCTCCTGGCCCCTGCCACGGCCCCCCTGGTCTGTGCTTCGTCCCCGCTGGCCCTGGCTTGCCTAGAGGAGCACCACCACCACCGCTCGTCATAACTCAGTGATCTCCAGCGGGCTCTCCATGATCACCTCCCTCATCTTGTGCAGGGGGGTGGACTTGGCCGACTCGGTGCGGGCGTTGTGGTCGCTGTAGCCCCCGCAGTCAGTGGTCAGAGTCTCCAGTGAGCGACCCAGCACCTTCTGGTCGTCCTCAGGCAGGCTGTTGAGGTCAGAGGCGAGCAGTGTGCCCGTGCTGCCGTGCACCACGTGGATGCCGTCGGGACCTTTCAGCTCCACCGGCTGCTTGTGTCGGAATCGGAGGCTGCCCTGGCCAGGGCTGCGCTCCTCCTCCTCCTCCTCCATCTCCTTCTGGATCAGCTGCAAAAGGTCCATGGAGTGGGGGAATCACCACCATGGCCAGAGCAGATCCTGGCTTCCCCGCCTCTGAACCTCCTGCAATGCCGGAGCCCAGCGGGAGGGACAGGACCCTCCTCTTCTGAAGCAACCTCAGAGCGTGGTGATGAAGATCACCAGCGCGATGATGATCTCCAGCTGGATTGCTTGCTCATCGGGTGGGTGCCTCGGCTCAGGCACCCGGGTTGGGATTTGGGGTTGTATGAAGGCGGTGGGGCAGAAGGCAGACAAGGAAAGGAGTTGAGGGAAGGCTGGATGGGCTGGAGGGGGATAAAGGCAAGGAGGGATGGGGGCAGAAGGGCTGAAAGGTGTCTCCTGTCCCACTGCTCTCCTCCACTCTGTTTGCCCCGTGTTTTGCCCCCCATGAAGAGGGGGAAGCCTGTGGGAGGAGCTGCTTCTCCCCACACTAGTCCTCCTGCACCAAAACCCTCTGTCCCAGCCTTTTTGCCTCAAAAACCTGCTGGGTTGATAAGCTCAGAAGACCAGAGGGGAGGGACGATGTCCCCATGTGCGTGCAGGGACCCACAGCTTCTTAGCCAGCCTTGACAGAGACATGAGGAGGTGATGAACAGAGCCCACCCTGCAAAGAGGGGGGTCCTCACCCAGGGTGGGAGAGACCAAGGGAGATGCTCAGAGGAAACATGGGGGTCATGAGAGCTGGGACACTGTGGGGAACCAGCAGCCTCAGTGGAAAACCAGCATCTGGCTCATTTTGGCCAAGTAGAGAATGGAAGGACCACTGGGTGACAGGGACTGCGGCTGCAGGGAGTGACCACAGCCTGTGGGGCTGGGAAGACACACTGCATCCCAGAGGGCACGGCAAGCATCTCCCCACGCCCATGCACACCCCGTCTACCTCCGAGACCGAGGAGCGGTCCCCCTGACTTGCGGTGGCCTTATGCACCATCCGCTGGGCAAAGAGTTTTTTCAAGCGCATGTAATCATCCAGGACCACCTTCAAGAGAGAGCCCTGGGTGGAGGGGGAGAGACAACGTGTTACCCAACAGAGATGGTTTGGTCAGAGGGAGGCTGGCCTCATCCCAGCATTTTTTGGAGCAACATCACCCTCCGGCACCGCAGCCGTGAACCTGGAAGCTGTAGTGGTAGAAGACCCCTCGGTGGAGGATGCCCGCTCTCATCACTCACCTTAATGGGTCCCTCCCGCATGATCTGCCCCAGCTTGGCAATGTTGTCGTATTCCTGGATGGCTGCCCGCAGGTAGCGGTCATCCTCGGGCTTGGCCGCGGAGGGCTCTCTCCCGAAGGTCCCCTGTGGAAGGAGAGAGAGGCTGAGGAGGCGATGTGGGCATCGGGTGTGGGGAGGAGGTGTCCTGGCAGGAGCCGTGTCTCACGTGGGTGCGGGCAGGGCTGTTCCAGAGATCGGTGATCTCGCTCAGGTTCTCCGGCAGGTCGTCCTCGTGCTCCGCCTGTGCCGCCAGCTCCATGTTCCTGCAGAAGGGGTCCAGCCACACTGGGTTGGCCCTGCCCAGAGGAGAGGAGGAAGCCTCAGCACCAGCAAAGAGCAGCAGCTTCCCTAACCCCATCCAGAGCCTGGATGCTGAGGTTGCACTGTGGAGGCATGAATTCAGCTGCTCTGGATCCAGATGTGTGTCGACACCCTCCCATCATCTCTGCTTACCCCAAGTCTGGCCAGTATTGGCAGACATGGTATCACAGGAGAAGGCACAAGGTCTTTTGGCTTTGAAAGCTCTCAAGGCAAGCACGTGTCTCAGGGCCAGAGCTAAGCCCCCCATGGCATGCCTGGCTGCATCCCTCTGCAGAGCAGAGAGGCATCGCATCTCCACCTCCAGCGCATCCCTGGCTGCAAAACGTAGGCATCCCTCTCTCCGGAGCAGCCTGCGGTCCTGCAAGGTGGCAAACCGGGGAGGGGGAAGGAAGGGAAGAACTCACCCATCAAAGGAGTACTTGTTAGTATTTGGCATGTCCATGATGTCCATGAAGCCTCTGTTCCCTGCAAAAGGCAGGGGTGGGGGTTACAGGGTGGCATGTCAGTGGGCTGAGCAGCAAACCATGGGGCAGAACTTCTTTACTGGGGAGGGAAACTTGGTGACAAAAAAGGCACCGGTGGTGTGAGAAACACACTGGGATGTGGCTGATAACGCGGAGCCTGGATGCTGAGAAAAGCCTCCCACCACTGCACCTCGCTGGGCAGGATCGCTTCTGATTTACACCCCTCTGACATCCCCTGTGTCTCCCCATGTACCCCCTCCATGCTCTTCATGCACCCTGCTGTCTCATGCAGCTGGGAAACCCCAAACACTGCTCACCGGTGGAGCCAGCCACTATGGCTTTCAATTTCCTTTTGTGCCTGTGAAAGAAATACAGTGAATCAGGGAA